GATGAAAATAGGCATTTGCTCTCATAGTCCTAGATTCGTAGATGGTGCCCCCAGATTCTGTGCCAACAGTTTTGACTAATGACACTGTTGGGCAGCCCAGCAAACTTGTCTCGTTTTCGCCGCAGACCTTTCCTGCTGCTACACTTTCTTTGCAAAGTCGGGCTTCGTTAGAGTTTGGAGATTGTCAGCGTTGAATCCACGGGAAAGAGCTGTGTGCCAACCACGAGGAAGGCCTACTTGCCCTCCCGCCACATCAAGCAGAATGCATTGACTGTTGAAGTGGTGTTTGCTGCTCCGAACGCGAACTCCATGGTGAGGAGCTCCGCCAGAAACTTGGACCTACACAAACATCAAAGGAATGGCAGAAGTTACGCAGAGAGGTGGTGAACTGTTTTGCTTCTTTACCAGTGAGGGTCTTTGATGCATTTGTTTATTGACTATTTGACTATTGGTAAACTTCACAGATTGCCTTCTAGGTACAATCACAAAGGCCTGCTTTCACAGGATTCGTTTTGCATGTTGGACAGTGGCCTTCGCATTTATTTGCTTCTTGGCCAACATGTGGGGGGTTTTCCAATCCGGTGTTAGTGCACCAGCACAAGGCCGGAATTGCAACTCGGAGTTTGGCTGGAGCAGCAAAAAGCAAAGCAGTGTGCCGCAGCCGATGCCGATCATATTTCGATTGAACCTGTGGAAAGCTAGTCAAGTTGCTAAGGTGTGCAAGTGACCTGGGCATTTTTTGGACTGCATCATGCACACTGAGTGTTGCGCAAGCCTTTTGCCAACAGATTCATCAGACCTCACCAAACCCTAGTTCTTTGCTCACCTGTAAATGCTAGTGATGTCTCTGAGAAGTTGAAGTGCTTCACATCCATTGCTGCAGTATTTGTGTGCACGGCAGCCGAGCGTTTAAGCTTGGTGGTTGCTGCGGTCATACTCGAGAGATCGCATGAGCTCTGTGGTCCTTTCTTCCGACCTACTTTGCACGTCCACTTCCATCCACAGCGAGAGATATGGACCCTCCACACTGTGGTTGGTCGCAGCTTGTCCATGATCGAACGGGAAGGCTAGTGAAGCTAGAAAGGATCCAAGCCTTAGCCTCCTAACAGTATCCAGGTGAGGCTTGTAAGGGTTGAAAGATTGTTGACTTTCTTTGTGCCTAGACTTGCCTTGGCAAGCTTTTCCAAATCTTGCTTCTCTTAGACTCTTAGCCGTCTTAGCCATTTTAGCCAGCTGGCCAAATTCCTTTGTCGACACGACGGTGCGTAAACTGGGCTGCCTTTCTCTTTAGAACTCTAAGCAAATTCAACTCTGGAACATCGTTGCCTTAGCCTTTGCCCCAGACGTTCGCTCCTGGGCGGTTTTGGCAGGTGTGTTTAGGTTCGCTCCTTTGCCGAGGGAGGAGGTGCTGACGAGCAAAAACCGTGATGAGCTGGGAGATTTGCACGCAAGATTCTTTTGGAAGACACTTTGCCTACCTGAGAGCAGGTTAGCGCTGTTTGGCTTTTGTGCGTCTCACAACCCTTTGATGACTGCTCTGCATGACCACAATCGAACACTTCATGGATCACAGGAAGAGAGGATGACAGTGGAAAACAAGAAATCACATTTGGTGTTTCAAGTTTGTGTCTCTTTGAGATCGACATCACAAGCAGTCAGACTTGCTCTGATTGGAGATGAAAATAGGCATTTGCTCTCATAGTCCTAGATTCGTAGATGGTGCCCCCAGATTCTGTGCCAACAGTTTTGACTAATGACACTGTTGGGCAGCCCAGCAAACTTGTCTCGTTTTCGCCGCAGACCTTTCCTGCTGCTACACTTTCTTTGCAAAGTCGGGCTTAGTTAGAGTTTGGAGATTGTCAGCGTTGAATCCACGGGAAAGAGCTGTGTGCCAACCACGAGGAAGGCCTACTTGCCCTCCCGCCACATTAAGCAGAATGCAGTGACTCTTAAAGTGGTGTTTGCTGCTCCGAACGCGAACTCCATGGTGAGGAGTTCCGCCAGAAACTTGGACCTACACAAACATCAAAGGAATGGCAGAAGTTACGCAGAGGAGGTGGTGAACTGTTTTGCTTCTTTACCAGTGAGGGTCTTTGATGCATTTGTTTATTGACTTTTTGACTATTGGTAAACTTCACAGATTGCCTTCTAGGTACAATCACAAAGGCCTGCTTTCAAAGGATTCGTTTTGCATGTTGGACAGTGGCCTTCGCATTTATTTGCTTCTTGGCCAACATGTGGGGGGTTTTCCAATCCGGTGTTAGTGCACCAGCACAAGGCCGGAATTGCAACTCGGAGTTTGGCTGGAGCAGCAAAAAGCAAAGCAGTGTGCCGCAGCCGATGCCGATCATATTTCGATTGAACCTGTGGAAAGCTAGTCAAGTTGCTAAGGTGTGCAAGTGACCTGGGCATTTTTTTGGACTGCATCATGCACACTGAGTGTTGCGCAAGCCTTTTGCCAACAGATTCATCAGACCTCACCAAACCCTAGTACTTTGCTCACCTGTAAATGCTAGTGATGTCTCTGAGAAGTTGAAGTGCTTCACATCCATTGCTGCAGTATTTGTGTGCACGGCAGCGGAGTGTTTAAGCTTGGTGGTTGCTGCGGTCATACTCGAGAGATCGCATGAGCTCTGTGGTCCTTCCTTCCGACCTACTTTGCACGTTCCCTTCCATCCACAGCGAGAGATATGGACCCTCGACACTGTGGTTGGTCGCAGCTTGTCCATGATCGAACGGGAAGGCTAGTGAAGCTAGAAAGGATCCAAGCCTTAGCCTCCTAACAGTATCCAAGTGAGGCTTGTAAGGATTGAAAGATTGTTCACTTTCTTTGTGCCTCGACTTGCCTTGAAGAACATTTCTTGAAGCCCTTGAACCTGTGGTGATCAAGCTTGCATACTTTCCCGATCTTTGGTAGGACCTGCGTGGATCTTGTGCTCTTCATGTTGACATGCCAATGATATGATATCCATGCCATGAAACCCTAATCACAAGCCAACAATCCATCATCAGGTCACGTGAAGTGGTGCTGCCTGTGCCACTGTGGCGCACTCCTGCTGTGGTGTTTCAGTTTGCTTGTCTTCGATTTGCAAAGCCAAAAACAGCGCAGAAGCAAAGAGGGTTGGGCCGAAATTTGCAAACCTGTTGCGGTGTCTTTCGCACCACTTATTCGAAGATGCTTGCTCTGATTTGTATGGCAAAGACCAGTGACTCCACGCACAGCTTGCCCTTGATGGCCTGTTTCAGTCCTCCGGTACCAAAAGAGCACAATAGTTCACAGCTCAAGGTTTTTTGCAGATGTTGTGCTCGCAAGACACTTCAATGTCTTTAAAACAGCGTCCTTCTGCCACAATTGCATTTATATATCATGCTTTATTCCCGGAGAAGCTCAACCTAAGGCCAGCGACCGACAGTGCATAGCTGGCAGTGCTTTCTCATGCCAATGTGCGGCGCCTCAATTGTAACAAGAAACCAACTGCCACCATATCAGGAAAATTGCTGCAGGATCCAGCCATGCCACTCAGTTCCAAAGAGGTTTGGACTAACCTCAGTGGCTACGACTCAATTTAGGCAAGCCTGGCCTGGTCGTGCGCCCATAATAAAGGCCACCTATGCACCGCCTCGCTTGAATCCAGTTTCTGATTTGGACAGACTTCTTGATCTATTTGAAGTGATCGCCGGAAAGATAATTTCTGCGTGACAATTCAGGGTGCCCAGGAGCGATAAGATAATGTTGATTGTTTCCCACGAGTGACATCCTTTGCGCAAGTTGATACAACAGCGCCTATGGCTGTCATCAAGAAGGCCCTGTTCGTGCAACCTTGATGCCATTCTACATCTGGTTCTGAGCTGTTTCCCACGATCTGACACAAATTTAATGCCTGACTCATGCTCTTTGATGAGCGAGCCTGATTTGCGCAATAGGTTCATGAGTTGCTCTTACCTGCATCGCCAACCTAGGGCCTCCTACACAAGTTTGAGATTCTAGAAACGTATTCAAAAGTGCCGATGTGTGATTCGCCCGGT